CTCCACCATCATGGAAGGAAAAAGGGAGACGGTGTTCTCAGGTAACAGCAAATATGACGCAGAGCCAGCCTGGCAAAGGGGAGGCGTCTCGGAGTCAAAGCCCACCTTGGCAGCCTTGGGCAGTACACGGCCTTGAGCAAGGATAGGAAACAGCTGGACGCAGCGCCCGCCATCGGGTGTACGCTCACGAGGCGCGGCATTGGTAAAAAGGACACGAATTGAGTTCATTGCTCCTTCTTGCCCAGCCCCAACCCTTCCCTCTGGTATCTCAATCTTCCTCCCCCGTCTCACAAAGAACCACTTAGCTCTCCCTCTGTCTCCTTTCAGAAGATAGATTGTCTGGCCTATGTCTGGGCACAGGCTCACCCCTTAGATTTATTTACAACAGCTAATTGCGCTGTAACTAACAGCGCGATTAAAGCAGTACTGGCCGTAGCGCCAACTACGAAACAGAAACCCGCAGGAACATGGTTGTTAGACAGGAAAGTCCGTGAGACTCTTATCGCCAATAAACCACTAGAAGTCCAGAAGTGGCGCTGTGGCTCAAGTGATAGAGTGCTCGCCTTGAGCTGAAGAGCTGAGGGACAGCGCCCAGGTCCAGAGTTCAAGCCCCATGACCGACAACAATAACAACAAAAGTTACACCCAGAAAGTGGAAGGAAAAGGAGGGAAGAGGTAACAATGGTCTATAAGAAACGTGCTCACTACCTTACTTATGTAACTGTAACCCTCTGCACATCACCTTGACAATTTTTTTTTAAGTTACACCCAGAATTACCAGATGACCCAACCATTTTTACTCCTAGATACATAGGCCAAAGGATTTTTAAAAAGGGGGTGCCTCAAGCAAATGTCAGGACCCCAAAGTTGATTGTGGAGTTATTCAAAATAGGCAAAGATAACCAAGTATGTATCACCAGATGAATAGATAAAGAACCCAAGATGCATGCCTCGGATGGTGTATTAGCCCATTAGGGACTGGATTCTAAGGTGTAATACAGATCCATCCTGAAAATACTTACCCTACATGTCAGAAGCCACATACAAAGGGGACAGATGTTCCACGACCCTGCTGATACAAAGTGCCTGAACAAAATCCACGGATTAGAGACCAGCAGGGCTGAGGAGAAAGGAGAGGAAGTGTTGCTCCCTGCGTTGAGGAGGGTCTGCCTGGGATGTGGAAGTTAGCAATGGTGGTGATGGTTGCACGACACTGTAAATGCCATGAAGGCTACTCTTTTGGACTCGTTTGTTGGTGTGTGGTGGTTTTTTGAGACAGGGTTTTACTGTGACGCCCAGCCTGGCCTCCACCTCATCAAGCTCTGGCCTTTCTCCCATGTACAGAGATTACAGGTGAGTGGCACCACACCCAGCTTTACTGTATTTATAAGTGCTTTCAATGAACAATTTTGTTTTACATATTTCATCACAAGAAAAGAGGAAAGAAGATACGCAACCCTGGAGAACGTAGGGCGTCATCCATTATAAGCCATCTTTCAAGTTTTAACACGTCTGGAAGCAGCAACACTGAGCCCTTTCCATTCGGTTGCTCCTGTTACCTCCGACAGGGTGAAAACCGTTGGATTTGAGTCCATGGAACACTCCAGAACCATTTAGGGAGAAAAATAGGGGCCCAAAGATTGTTTTTGTCTGAAGCCTTTACTGCGAAGTCCAAGAAAACACTAGCATCAAAACAAAATTGGTGGCTACGAGTTGAAGTAAGTTCTGGAGATGGTACTTAAACGCTCTTTGAAACGGATGGCTCCATCAGTGCTGTCGATGGCCAAGGGATAATAAGAGAGTGTGGAAAAACACACTACAAGACTCACATGGAAAGAGTCGAGTGTGTGCAAACTCCGAATACAAACTGTCTTACCAATCTCTATTTATGCTTCCTCTTTTAACAAAGTACTAAGAAGCCATGTGCATGTGGTGTATCCTATAGTATGTATAATTATATAATTATATACTATATCACATAGTATATATATATTCATATATGATCAATTATCAATAATTCAATTATAATTGTTTTATTTGATGGATATATTATATACTCATGTAATTAGTATATACACTATAGGTCATATATAGGATAGACTGTATATAGTATTATAGTCTATGTAATTTTACATATAGATACAAGGTTGTGATCAGGGCTTACTACATCTGTTTTTACGATGGCAAAAGACAAGGAGTTCACACACAATTACATGGCCGTCGATCTCACAGGAAAGGTAATGGGCGTGAGGCTGGAGCCAGGGTCTGGGGCTGTTTCCGGGCTGGACTTGTGCAGAAGCATGGCATTCCTGCTGCCCTTCTTTCCCCTCCCAACACTGATTCATCTAACTGGTGAGCGTGGGAAAGGAACAGGGGAACAGGGCGGTCTGTCCACTCTCCCTTTCCTTTTAGGAAATGACTGTCTCATGAATCAATTTTCCACTTTTCCGCGGCTATGTCACAGGGGAAGCTGACCATGGCAAAAGGCCTAGTTTGTCAACTCTGTTACAAGCAGAGAGAGAGAATGAGAAAAAGCGTTACCATGGATAACACAGCTTTATCATGACGTTCTTGCACCTCCTTAATTACTAGTTAATACAGCAAAAATAAAAATAAATAAGAACCCCATGTGCAGGCGGCCTGTAATCCAAGCTACTCAGGAGGCTGAGATCTGAGGATCACCATGTGAAGCCAGCCTGAAAAGTCCATGATAGTCCAAAACACACACACACACACACACACACACACACACACACACACAGAGTCAGAAGTAGGCTATGGCTCAAGTAGAAGAGCGCTAGCCTTGAGCTTAAAGCTCAGGGACCGCGCCCAGGCCCTGGGTTTAAGCCTAGAACAGGCACAATGAAAAACTTAAATAAAAAAATCAGTAATAGGCTGGGGTTGGCAAGAAGGTAAGAGTCCAGTCTAACACACTACTTGGGAGTGTCAAAGTGGATGATCTACAGAGGACAACTGGACGCTAAGTTACGTGAATGTGTGCGCCTTTACACCAGTAATTGCACTTTCTACACACGCACGCAGCCACATATAAAGGGTTATTGTATAAGAACATTCATACCGCGTTGCAAGGTTGGACATGACTAATCGGAGAAATGGTTAAAATATAACCTATTTCAATTACAGAAATACCAGACAATTGATTTGGAATGCAAGTGCAAACTATGACCAACAAGCTAAAGCCAGTGTGCCGAGCGCTTCTGTTGTATTAGGCAGGATAAGGGCAGAGTGTCTGGATTCCTCCCACCCCTCCCCCAAGACTTCTCTTGGTGTCCTAACCCCTCACCACCCCTCCCGACTGGTCCTTCTCTGAGACTCAGGTTCTGCCAAGACATCATCTGTTAGGGCTGCTTGCTTCCCACGGTGAGGGCAGAGTAGACTCGAACACCGCTGTACTCCAATGAGCCTGCGCCTTTACCCTGATGTCAGCCCGTTTGCTGTCGCCTTGGCTTCCTGGGTGCATTAATGCACACTCAGCTTCTGCTGACAGCGTCTAGCTAGGCAGCCTGGGCTGGCCTCAAACTCCCCATGGAAGCCAGACTCCGGATGAGGCACACATGTTAGTTCTATTAAGTAACAGTCAGTCCTATTAAAGAGGTTCTCAAATGAAACCAAGGGCGGGGAAACAGTCATACAGTACAAGGTGACTGCGATCTTTTTCCACTTACTTTTGATATTTCAACAAAAGATGAAAAAGTGAACTTCAAGAATGAATGAAGCCAGGCACTGGTGGCTCACGCCTGTCATCCTAGCTACTCAGGAGGCTGAGATCCGAGGATCGCGGTTCAAAGCCAGCCCGGGCAAGAAAGTCCGTGAGACTCTTATCTCCAATATAACACCAGAAAACCAGAAGTGGCACTGTGGCTCAAGTGATAGAGCGCTTGCCTTGAGCTGAAGAGCTGAGGGACAGCGCCCAGCCCCAGAGTTCAAGACCCACGACCAACAACAAAAAGAATGATGATACTCACCAGTCTTTGAACAGAACCCCTCCTCTCCCCAAATTATTTTTCCTGATTATGAAGTTACTTTATGAAGTGCAAGGAACTGCAAACTTGAAATTCTAGTGAATAATATCTTGAGCCATTTTATGTAAGCCACAGATTTTCTAAAACTATCTGTTCAGTGCCTCTCCTCCCCCACCCCCAACTGAAACTGGCTTGTAATGGTGAGGTAAAAGCCGCTGGTGCTTGGGTCTGCCAGCTAGCAAGAAGCCAGTTATTTAATCCTGAATGCAACTCCTTCTTTCTCACTGGGCCAAACATCAATGTTTATTCGTCACTGCAACTATGTATTAGCACTTCAGTTTTCCAAGAGCTTTCCCATACATCGCTCCATCAGCCAGGTGACCTCATGCCGAGAGTCAAAGAAGGTATTCTATGGCTTGTAAATGTGGGTACTGTCTGGTGGATGGCCGGTAAGGCCGCTCCACTCACAGCTGAGTGGGTCAAGAAGAAACGCAAACGTCCCTTCTATTCTCACAGTTCTGAGCTATCTTTTTGAAACTTCCTGTTCTTCCCCCTGGGAGCAAATGGCCATCTTGTGCTTGAGATGTCTATTTGGTTTTCACAAGTGATGACATGATAATGGAAAATATTAGTGTTAGAGAAAGATAAGAAGTATTCTCAAAATGGCATTACACCTCACTCAAAGGACCCCAGAAACTATATCTTCTGAGGACCAAACTCTGCCTGTACCTCCTGAGCCTTGGTCATGTTGCTAACTTTTGAATATAAAATAATTTAGTTAAAAGCTATTAAACAGTATATATTAGCCTCTTATATATATTTGAACATTCACGATGTCGATTGCTAATCCCATTTTAGTTTGTTTGTTTTTTTTTGTCACAACACAACAACACACCTACCTAAGGCCAGATCACAACCAACCACAGTTTCCAAAAGTGTAAAGAAAAAACAACCAGTTTTCACTCAAGAAAAAAAAATTAAATATTTGAAATGAAGAGAAGTCTGAAAAATATGGTTCTTAAAGTATTCTTTATTAAGATCATTAAAAGTTGTAGAAACAACTTTATATTATAAAGGCACAGGAGACAGTTCTGATAAAATATTCAAATTAAACAGTAACTTACAGTACAAAAGACAACTTTAATGCACATACAAACCCCAAATGTCTGATTCAAAAATATTTTACTGCGTCTATTAATGGGCAATGATTAAAAATATAAATTGCTGCTGTATAATAAATATCTGATAGTGAACATCTTGATAGCAAAGTGAACAAAATATTTATTGCTTTTCACATACATATTTTTCCCTGTAATTTTATATTCCTAATTCTTTTACTTTCTTTTCCTCAATCTCATTCCAAAGATAAAAGAAACTCCACATAATCTCATGGGGAAAATGGTAGGTATAAAAATTACCTCAAGTAGTAATCACTGCTGACAGTGTCTCCTCGCTTTCTATACTTCAGTCACAACCACTCTCCTAAAAAGATAAAGGTTTGCTAAGCCACAGGCAACTCTATGGCTGGCATTGTAAGGTTAACTATGAACACTTGTCAAATATAAAAGATGCTCCCGTTTGAAATGGTGTATCACTTAGCGCTTTGAGGAAGAAAGAGGTGCATGTTGGACAAATGATTTAGCCTCTTCCCCTCAGAAACCTTCCAACGTTGTAAAAAGTTAGGCTTAACAAAAATCTTCCACGTGTACATGTTCCATTGAGAGCTATGCAATCAATTTACAGAGACATAAAATTAACAAAATGCAATCTATTTGAAAATGGAGATTTCTTAACCTTTGCCTTACAGTGTTTAGAAAGATTAACCTGATTGATTTCACTCACCTCTTTTTGTAGTGAACTCATTTTTGATGGGGCAGGTAAAAATTTCCATCTCAACAGTCGAACAGCATGAAAGCATCACTCTAATAATGCTACTGCAACTTAAGAAATACTTGCATTCAAGTACCTGACACAGTTACTTTACATATGCCATGTTCAGATGATGTAGAGCAGCTACTACACGCCTGGTACAGAGCAGAGGCTCAATAAATAGTATCTGAATGAGTGAAGAAGAACAACTTAGCTTTGGTTGTGCGCATTTTAATCACTTCTGATTTAGGTTCTGTTAGTCTAGAACTAACTACCCCAAACATGGTTGTAAACAAAAGTAGTAATTTCCATTAGAAAAATATCACCTAGATTAGCAACAATCCACTTAAATACTATAGCGTTTTCAGATAGCCTGCAAGTTTTACACATGTGTTGATTTCTATCCACATATTTAAATTGGATGTTCTGATGTCTGGCAAATGAATTTTTAAAAAGCCTGGTTTTCTTTAATTTCTTTAAAATAACTGTCAGATTGGCTAATTTTCAGCTTAATAGGAAAAGATTCTATCAGTAAGTAAAAGGCTTGATGCCCGATTATAAACTCCAATGACTACCATGTTAACTTTTCCAAACTACCAATGAACAAAAGGGGAAAAGATCTTTTAAGTTACATATTTTCAAGTAACAGTAGCTTAATAGTTAACGTTAAAGAACAACCAGGGTAACTTCCATTTGATCATTACAAAGCTACAATATTTCAAGCAGGGTAAGAAGAAGGTGATCAATTCTATTTTAAGTTCTAAAACAGAATTAATAAAATTGCTAGATCTAAAATAGAATGACTAGATCTAATATTTCTTTGGCATATGCATTACTATCTTCAACTAGTTAGCATTTTTAAAATACTGGATTATATTTTTTCTCAACCAAAATTACCATTAAGGTGTAGATTGCTAATGTTCTCTTCTTAAAGCCTTTTTAGTAAGGAACAAAATGACCTTTTGTAACATGCTGAACTTGATGTTCAGTGTACACTGGGTTAGTGGCATGGAGGAACATACCTCTCAAATAACCTCAAATGGTATCATGCAGCGGTGAAACCAAAGACTGGAAGAAATTATTTACACAACATATTCAGCTTTCTGAAAAAAAAAAACAAAAATAAAACAACAGTAAACCTGGGAATCCTGCCCTAATGGTGAATATGTACCGCATAGCACTGAATGAAAACTAGTTTATTCAAACAAACACCTCTAGTAACCTGAATGTGTAAAGTTTAATAATAATAAAAAAAATCCCCTATACATCAGAAGGAAAACTTGGCCTATAAAACAGGCCAATCTAACATGACATTCAAAGTAAATACAAGAGATTCACAAAATCATGATAGCAATGCAAACTAAGTACCAAGTACCCTTTGATACACAAGCCAGTAGAACTATCAGACTTCTTTCCAATAGCGTCACGGTACCCATCCACAAACTGGGGCCGGGGCAGGGGGAGCGAGGGCAGTCAGCCACGGCTCCCATCTCCAGAGTGTGTGCGGAAGCACTGTGGGGGTGGTTCTGAAGCGCAGTGATGTCTTATTTTGATGGATGTCCACCTAAGAGCCATCGGTGCAAGTTCACCGTCTCCTCCGAGTGTAAGTACCTCCCGATGCCGCTGTTCTGGTTTGGGTGGGTTCGCTCTGCCAGGGCTAGGTAAGTGGAGGAAAGAGATCACGGAGCTGGTCCAGCTCAGACTACCTCACGTTGTTACTCAACTGCGCCAGGTACTCGCGCAGCTCCTTGGCGGCCTGGAACCGGCCGTAGCGCTTCTTTGGGTTGGCACATTCGTCCAGCAGGGCCTCCAGGCGGCCATCTTTGGCAATCTCACTGGGCGGATCATGGAGGAGCCCTCCAGACGTGCCACGCCAGGTGGCGTGTCTGGATAAGAGATTCTGACAGACAGCATAGTAATTGTGGTCCACGGTGACACGGGCACAGAGAATTTCCTTTGAGAATGACAAGCAAGCCTCCTTATCACACTCATCAAATTTGCTTTCATACCACACATCCCAATTTTCAGGTTTATCTGTGGAAGGGGGGGAAATGGAAGGAGAAAACAGTGCAGTTTTAAGTCCTTATTGCTCCAAAGACAGGACATGTCTCAAACACATAGTATCTGTTCTAGACTCCGTACATAAAAGTGTATGACAAATGTCAACGTCAGAATACACTAACTCTCATGATTTACTGAGGGCCCACCGACGTCAAAGCACAAAGGTTCAGCCCTCAAAGCCCAGTGTGATGATTTTCTATCATCACAGACTGAGGGATGCTACAGGACTAGGGAAGATAAAGCTCTTCTGCTGGTAGTGTACAAGCCTACAGAGAGAACATTTGGTTTTATGTCGGAAAAGACAGGGTAGAAAAGTGCATTCTAGCCAGGGGTACAGTCTATGCAAAGGCGTACACCTATGAGATTAGTCCAGTGGACAGAGGAAACAATGACAAAGTAACTGTGGCTGCTGGAGACACAGGTACCTAGATAGGATGCGCAGGCTGGGTGGAGGAAATGCTGCAGCGTCTGTGATCACAGAACTAACATAATGAGAGCAACAAGGGGGGGGGAGGGACAGACTGCATCTCAGACAACAGTGAACGGAAAAGCGAACCAGCAAGCTTTAGGATTCTAACTGGATGACTAGGTAGGTGCGAGTGACATAATGGGGCCAAAATTTTATCATATAAAGTAGCTCTGTGGTATCTGGGTGGGCCTGACACAGAACTAGAACCAGACTTGAAACCATCAGCCAAGGCTGGAAGTATAGATAGAGGTACCCACGTTTAAAACGCTTCAACTCGCGGCTGTGTACGATGGAGCCAAAGCCTGAAGAACAAGACGTCCCTGCACACGGAGGAGGTGGCACCTGATAAGCAAAGCAGCTGGCTGCAACAGGAGCAGGCAGGGGGCGTGCCGTGGGAAGGCCCGGACACAGACAGGCTCGTTGAAAAACAAAAGGCCGCCACCCTCCAGTACCCAGGGTAACGGACAGAGCAGATACGACAAATGAAGCAGAATAGGCCGAGTCTTGCAGACTATGTCCTGTGGAGGAATGTGGATTTTATCTGAAGAATGGGCCGCTGTGATAAGCCACGTAAGCAAGGAGATTAAATGTAGGTACTGGGCAGAAGGAAGGCCAGCGGGGAGGTTTTACTAATCAGAGTTTGCTTTCCTTGCTTGCCACGGCCTGCGAACAGCAAAGCAGCCATCTGAGTCCTAAAGAACTACGGAACGAGGGGAACCCACGTGACTCACGCAAGGGTGGATCAGGAGCCATTTTTTTTTCAAGAGAAGGTACTCCAGAAGGAATGTACGTGACGGATGTGCTTTCCGAGATGTGAGCGGAACTGCCCACTCCACTGGCGCACCTCCTGTTCACGGTGAGCACGCTCTAACCTTGACGCTGCTTCCATTACAATGCCGGCAGACCAGGCACGCCTCACAACTGTGGCTGGGAGTTCCACTGCTTGATCTCCCGTGGGTGCACACAAAAGCTCGGGTCATGTGCACGCCCCTCACCCTCCTACCAACAGCCCCCCTCTGACATTTGTGCCTCTTTCTTTAAGGTCTAGAAGCTGGATGCGAGAGAATACGTGTGGCCTTTATCTTTCTGAATCAGCAATACTGTTAGTCCCAGTTGAAGAGCCAGGCAAGGCAGAACGGACTGTTCAGGCCTGCGTGTCTGTGAGTGGGGAGTTAAAGATGAATGGTAGAGCAAATGCTCAAGGAAGGGCCTGCTGCCCGAGAGGAGGGGCCGGCCACACGCGTGCTGGTGTACGTGTGTGTTAGGATGAAAGGAGAAGAGCCGGACGGAGGGGCCACGGCAAAACCTTCATCCCCTCCGAGGACAAGACGCCGTGAGTTACAGTGTGAGGAAAAGGAGGCGAGTGAAAGCTCAGAGCCTTTTCCCGGTGGCTGGGTAGCAAACCCTACCGTGAGACGTGAGTGGGGCCGGCCAGGAGGCATGTGGCCCCGGGGCACGCTCACTGGATAAAATGCAAGACTAGCTGTAGAAGCGACATACGTGGACCACTCCCAAGCCAGGAACTAGTTGGCATAAAACAATCAGCCCTGGTCTGTCTGCACGAAATGAAATCAGATCCAGTGTTTAGAAACACTGGAACACCTGCACTGCTCAGTGCCTACAGGAAAACCCCAACTTGTACCATTTTATAAAAAAAGATGAGGTCCTGGTGTCTGCTGCTACACCATTCACCACACAGCAAGAGGCGAGGAGGAGTAGGAACCCTCAGCAGAGCATTCACTCGCTGTGGGAAGATCTCCACAGCCAAGTCAAGAAACAATCCAAAAGTAGCATGCTGAGAACAGAATCAGACCAAGCAGTGGGAGGAAGAAGCTCCTAACAGACCCATGCTAGGAACATGCACAAAAGCGAGTGTCAACCCAATACACGCTGCCAATTCCCTGCCCCCACCCCCACCCCAAAGTGCCTGGTGCTCCTTAGGCCAAGGGAAGAGATAGGATTAAAACGTAAGGCTCCAACGAGGCCCAACAACCCTTCCAGAACTCTACACAGTCCGGGCAGCCTAAAATCTGACAGACCCAGCCTCGGGGGAACTGTAAGCATGCATCACAACAATGGGTCTTTCCCAAACTGAACTGGTTCTGGAACACAGGCTTTATCCTTGACATTTTTAAATTCTGGGGACATGGGCTGTAGGCATGGCTCAGGCAGTAAAGCACCAGCCTTTGCATCAGGCCCTGAGCTCAAGTCCTCATCCCCAAAGAAAAAATTCCTGTGATGTCTACTTTTCAATACCCTTCCGATATTCTTCCCGGGGAAGAGCGCACAAATAAATGAAGAGTAAAACTGTGGGGTGAATTGTGGCAATCCAAATGAAGTGTTAGTTAGGAATTATGCAAGTGATTAAACAAAAACGTAGGGACCTCGGGAAACAACAGACGCAGAACATAATTTAAGGGATCCTACAGGAAAACAAGGCCTTGATGTAAGTAGTAGAGGTTCTCTACTGCCTATCCCAAGGTGAACTCACTCCTGCAGCAGACAGAACACGGCACACTGTTAGAAGAGGGGTACACACAGAGACACCTCAAAAGGTATTTACTAGGGCTGGGAATGTAGCTTGGTGGTAGAGTGCTCACTTAGCATGCATGCACGAAGCCCTGGGATTCAATTCCTCAGTACCACATACACAGAAAAAGCCGCAAGTGGCACTGTGGCTCAAGGGGTGGAATGCTAGCCTAGAGCACAGAGAAGCCCAGGGACAGCGCCTAGGCCCTGAGTTCAAGTTCCAGGACTGGCAAAAGAAAAAAGAAAAAAAAAGGGGGGGAGTTGTTTACTGAACATGAAGAAACTATGACTAAGAATCCAAGTACAGCAAATTGGCGAGCTTATAAGAAACAAGGGAACATGCAAAATTACCATCTCTGGAAAAAACTTAAGCCAAGCATCGTTTTTGACATAAAGTACACAAGAAAACAAACCTAAGCGTTAGATACTTACTTTGTCTAATTAATCTTTTGTCAGCAACCAAAACGTTCTCAGCATCCACAATGATGACCCTCCCGTCCCGAGGACCGACTGCAAAATTGTCAAAGCTGACGTCCAGGAGGTACAGTGCGAACTCAAAGTCATTGTTCGTTAGCTGCTCGGCAATTTCCATCAACTGCCAGGCGAGGTCAACGCGCTTTTCCCAGGGTGCATGGAAGTAGCTCCACAGCTCTTCTCCCACGTAACTGACGGCCACCATTCTTCCACAAGCTCCCAGATACTTCGCAAATGGCCAGCCTTCATCAGATGGAAAACTCTAATTGAAAAAAAAATCACCTTATTAGAATAGATTCTGAGAATGGACTGTATCCTAGGTCAGACTCAAGACTTCTTTAATTTTTTTCCTGAGCTCAGAGGTAGCATACAAGGGTAACATGTAACATGCCCATCATTCTCTTCTAGATACTTGTAACAGAGACAGTTATTTGGCGTGAATTTGGATTTTCTTGTTATATCCAACAGTTCAGTAGAGATGGCCTATTTTTCCTAATTCAAACATGACTATGGACCTGAAAAGTGAAAGTAACTTTTGTGTTTTAAAGCCAAAAAAACAGACCAATCTTGCTTAAAACTCTCTGAGCCAAAATTACAAATAAAAAATAAGAGACACTGTCTTTATTACCAAATCTACAACATATTTACATTTTCCAGTATCTCCTTTGTATAAAAGTGCAGGCAACCAATTCTTTCTTTATGATAAACACTACTGTACCATGCTGGAAATACATGTAAACAAATAATCTGCTAGCCATAGGCTTTTTTTTTTCTTTCAGTTCCAGTCCCAGATCTTGTTCAGGGCCTGGGCACTATCCCAAAGCTTTTTTGCTCAAGGCTAGCACTCTACCACTTGAGCAAAACCTCCACTTACGGCTTTTTTTTTTTTTTGGTGGTTTATTGGAGATAAGAGTCTATGGACTTTCCTGCCCAGGTTGGCTTCAAACTGTGATCCACAGATTACAACCTCCTGAGTAACTAGGATGACAGGCTTAACCCACTGGCGCTTTCTTTTCTTTTCTTCTTTTTTTTTTTTTTTTGGTCGGTCGTGGGGCTTGAATGCTGGTCTGGGCACTGTCCCTGAGCTCTTCAGCTCAAGGCGAGCGCTCTACCACTTGAGCCACAGCGCCGCTTCCGGTTTTCTAGTGGTTTATTGGAGATCAGATTCTCACGGACTTTCCTGCCTGGGCTGGCTTTGAACCGCGATCCTCAGATCTCAGGCTCCTGAGTAGCTAGGATGACAGGCGTGAGCCACTGGTGCCCGGCAAAAGAGGACTTTTCTAATGGGCTTTATAGCCACCTCAAATCAAAACGTAAGTCTTCCACAACCATAAATAGTTGTTTTCATCTAAAATGATATGTTTTTATCTAAGATCCTTTCTCCTCCTAAAAATCTATAACTACAAAATAAGTGTTGGAGAAAAAAGGAAGGTAAGTGATATTTTAAACAACTTCATACAGAAGAGCACAGGCCACAGGTGTTTTAAGTGCCATTCCTCACCACCTGGTACTTTTAAGTTAGGAGGGAAAAAAATTTTTTTGAGAGGATAATGTTTATACTAAGAGGGAGTGAAGGGGAAACTCAGAAGGATAAACTTGTAACAAATCACTGCAGAATATCAAGACAGTTTTTTCATTCCTAAACACTGAATGATGTATTTAACAGCCAGAGAGGAGGAGCTGCTTGTATCACGTAAAAAAACAGGGAATGGCAATTTTAGCCTGTGCTCTGACAGAGTACAATATCTGTAGAATAAAACTGTTGTCCACCACAAAACAAAAAATACCCGGAGAGCTGAACTGCATCTGTATTTCCCAGGTGTCCATTTGTGCTTCCTGTTAAGCACAACAATCACACTTTGTGTGTGTGTGTGCATGTATTTTTTTTCTTTTCAATTTCAGTATCTGTGTTTGGTGAAGCATTTATTTTTAATCTTGTGACTGAGAAATTATTTCCTTTGGGGAACTAAAAAATGACAGCTGGTTCATGTCCAGCGTGCAGCCAAGAACTCTTCACTAACCTCACATTTTTAACATTTCCCCTCATTTACCGACACCTCCTGACCTTGACATTTTAGTTAGGCTAACCATTACAAAGCACTTAACTATTTCCTCACGATAAGCAAACATGAAGGTAGGTAATTCTGTCAGTCAGGAACAAAACAAGGAGCTCCACACACCACCACCGCCATGTGATTCGCAGAGACACAGGCACATCTTTGTGAACATGAAATGGTCTCTGACAACAGGAGAAAAGGAACGCTGCCAGCAGCTGCCCATGTACGTCTGCACTATGTACAAACACGTGGACAAGCTGCCTTGCTTCTGGGGCCTTCCCAACTGGCCAGCAACCAACAGACAGACAGACAAACAGACAGACCCAACTTCATTTTCCCAGCCCCTCACCAAGCCCCGGGAGCAACTTAACATTCACATAGTGACACTGGGCGACTTGGGCTGCAATCTCAGCATGCCTCATTTAAAAACAGCACTACACTTCTCTCCTGTATCTTTTGGAAGAATTTTAATAAACTAATTCACAGCTTTGCTCCTATAACAAGAACTCTTCATGGTATAATCAAAACAGTCAGATATCATTAATGAGAATAATATGCTATTGAGCACAGGGCGTATAAAAAATGCTCACGAGGGGCTGGAATAGTTATGGTTTGCATTTAAAGCGATTCTGGCTTAGAATGGAAATGCCACGTGCAGAACCTGAAAGAGAAAAATTTTGAGACCTTCGAGGTTATTCCTTCAATAGATCAAGCAATATAAGAATATAAGTTCTTCCCGGTCATCAAACTCCTACAGGACAGACAGAAAGCACAGTAATCTAGTGCAACAGGTTTACTGTGGTGCTCCACACTTTGATTTAAAATAAAAAATCTAAACAACAGATTTTCCAAATGGGGGGAAAGCGAAGGAAGGAATTGTACTCATTACCTGATTTGTGACATGGAAACACCTCTGTGTACAACACCTTAATAAAACAATAAAATTATATTTAAAATAATAAAATTAAACTTAAAAAGATTTTTCCAACTGCCTAGACCAAGCACAGAGCTTCATACAATCTAAAACAGGATTGTTTTTAATCAACTATTTAAAGCTGATAATATATATATATATATATACATATACATATATATATATATAAAATCTTTGCAGTTAAAGAAACTTTAAACTTCAAATAGTATCAACTAGTTACATGAGAGGTACAAAAACTTAATTTCCCAAGGTTTTAATCAACCCTGAATATGTCATAAAGTGTAATATGTATATTTTAAAAAACAAAATTGTACAAAGGCAGACACCAGTTACACAACCAAGTATTGGCTTGTCTATAGTGTATTTCAAAAAACACTGTAAAAACCCTGTATTACCTACAAAACAAAGACGACTAATCACGTATTACCACACAGGGGAGCTGGCACAGAGCTCAGTGACGCACTGTTTGCCTACAATGTACAGGGCTTTAGCTTCAATCCCTAGCACTAGAAAGATAGGAGAGAGAGGAGAGACACAAGAAGAAAAAAAGAAGAAAGCTGAAGAGTTAACACAAACATGGTTAACCTGCTAAGCTTTAAACCCATTCGATAACACCTTCGCTATTATTCTGGAAAGTACTTGGACATGAACCCTCACAGAAATGACAGTGCTTAGGTACTGGGGGCGGGGGTACAAAGCCACTGGCTACCTGCACATCCTAACACTCGGGCGCACGCCCCGCTAAACTATATCCACTGACCTCGTCTCAAGCCACACTTCCAGGAACCAGTAAACAGAACCACCAAGGTCATCATCCTTGTAAGAAAACACATCGTGGGAGGATGCCTACCAGCTCTGTATGGTCACTGCTATAGTGAAGATGTTACATTTTCACTATATACTTTTTACAGGACGCACCCAAGAAAGCGTCTGTATTTAAAGGACGAATACAAGTAGAGTAATGGACGCAAACGCACGAAGCTGAGTTTTCTACACTGGACCAGCTGACGCCATGGAAAATGGCAACTTCCCTGACAGCTTTGGTTTCTTCCTTTGAAAAAGGGAACTATTTGTGCCATGGTATTATCAGGCAATCCAAAGGGCCAAAGGAAAAAAACAAACAAACATGACATTGTACTTTGAAACCTGACAGCACTTTCTAAAGAACTGTTTACCCAAAATACAGTCATTTGTCGAGCTGTGCTTATTTTCCCAACATCTGCTAAATAGCATCTATGTAGAATACCTTACAAATATAACCAAGAGCCACAAAATTTAGAAACATCTTTGCTGCTGTGGAAGAGTAATTTGTAACAGAATATGTAAATTAGATACCAAACTTTCAAAAGATTTATAAGAACAGAATGGAAGATCAGTAAGCACAGCAAAAACCAGAAATTAAAAATGTGGTAACATGCATACATATAAACAATATGTCGACTTGCTTTTCACTTGCAAACAAACAGTAGAGACCACAAAGCAAATTCCAAATGCTGCAATAATCTATTACTCCCTAAATCAAGAGCAAATTTTGATGATCAGCAACAGAGGATGTAAACTCCAAGCAATGGGGGTGTGGGAGCACCTGACTGGCAAGCCTAGTTCAATCTTACCACACAGCGTTCATTTGCCTGTGTTCACACAGGCAATAAAAGACAAAGCCAGGCCAACAGTCATTCTTTCTGCAAGAGCACAACAGAGTCAAAGATAGACTTTCCAACTGAACTGCCTCCTGTTTGAGAATTTTTATATTATAGAAGGGGAAGAGTGCGCAGCTATCTAAATAGCAGCCCCTTTGCAGGAGTCGCGTGAGATCATTCACCCTAAGTGCTCTCTACTTAGAACGCCTAAGCCGTGAGTGGGTTAGAAAGACTGAGGACAGAGCAGAAAGAACATTCCAGACATTTGTTAGAGCCAGAGAGTCTCTCGCTTTTAACAAGGTAAGTATGGCTCCCCGGGCCTACAGGGAACTGGGTGGGTCGCTCCCCACCCGCGCAGAGCACAAGCTTCCCAACATCTTCGTGCTGTGAAAAAGCCATACGTGGCAAAACCTGAACATCAGAGTCCTGTGGTATGTGGCAGTATTCCAAAGCTAGACTTCTAACACACACACAATGTAACTTCTGATCAACAGCTATCATCTGTTAGGTAAATAAACTATCACTTTATTCTAACCTGCCATAACACAGTCATGCAAAGGGCAGACCAGGATGTATGAGTAAAAGCACAGAAAGAGTGTCTCTGTATCTGTTTGCTTTCAGAAGATGAATG